AATATATATATATATATATATATATATATATATATATATATATATATATATATATATATATATATATATATATATATATATATATATATATATATATACTTTTCTGAAAACTCATTATGTCACACCTGTGATATTTGCATATGAAACAAAGTTGAATATCTTGAAAAGGGAGCAAGTTAACAAAATTCTATAAAAGAAATTAATAATTCATTTTAAGTGATCTTTACAATGCAACCATAAACCTTTGGGGTGAAATTTCGTGTCATTGGCACTATAATATAAGAAATATAAGTCGTATTTATTTCTTTTAGTTTCTTATTGTTTTGGGAGCACTGTGGTTAGAAGACACGTATCTTTCATTTCTCCAACACGTGTCGATTCCTAATCCTATACTCTACTTTCGCATTTTATTTAGGGCTACAGTTTCACTTGCAACCGCTAGTGATGCAGATTTTGATGTACTTTCGTCAACCGAATTGAACTTTAGTCCTGGTAATACTGATGAAACGATTACCATAGCAACTAAGGATGATTCAGTTATTGAAGCTGACGAAGTCTTTGTTGTAACTCTATCAACAACAAGTCCCAGTGTGCAAATTGACAAGGTCAAAGGAGTTACAACCATTACTATTAATGACAATGATGGTAAGTGTTTTCCACACGTCACATGCTTACCAATGACAATAGGCTGTATGTAAATGGTGTCTAAACAACGCTATGGAAATTCAACAGGCTGTCGTCAGGGCCGTAGCTAGACCGATAATTGGGGGGTCCATATTCATATATTCGCGTTCTGCCCGACGGATTTCTTTTGAAAGCTATTGTGTATGAATATATATGCGATTGTGTATGGCTGTCGCGTGCATCATAACCGTGGCTAAACAATTCAATTTTTACATGGGACGAAAGAACAGTTATTTAGCTTTAGTCAATGATACTCTTTTTAATTAAATCGTAACGATGAGAAATGGCCACATACTGTACTCCTCAAATAAAAACTTCCACCGTTGGAATTGCCAACCTCGTTCCCAGGCTCTTCCCTCTTGTGGAGGAAACACCCTGGTCGGGGCTGGTCACGTGACCCATAGAAAATTGATAGCCCAAGTGGGGGGTGGAAAAGTCTTGTATTACATGTTTCCACTTCCGCACTTTACACTTCGATTGCAAGGAGTGCCCGTTCTGTACAATCATCTGTGAGAATCATATATACTTCAAAATACTTACTAAATTGGTTTCTGTTTGCTTTTAAATTATATAAACCTGCTAAACAGTAGATTCTTATAGAAAAGACAAGTCAAGCAACGAAAACGTATAATCGTATGCTTTGAAATATTTTCCCTTTTATTCTCTCGGGGTTCGGGCGCAGTTTCATTTTTCGCGTACGTTTCTGTTCTGCTTCGGGTTCAGATATTTAAAATATTCTTGTAATATGACATTGAATTGTTGTCTTATTGAAACGGTATAAATTTGTTAAATAGAGGTCGCCTTGGTGGTCTTACAGCAAAAGTTACACATTTGGACACTAGCCAAATAGACATTGAATGTCCATTCTATTGATTCTAAAACCGTTTACATACATAGTTGAATGCAGGAATGATAGCTGATAAGGTTTGGCAAATAGTTTTTAATATATCTGGTATAAAGTATCCCTACGTTTAATCAGGGATACATATTAAATTCATAAACTGTATGTGCGCACGAAAACTCGCTCGTAGAATTATTTAATGAATAATGAGTTAACGTTTTTATAAGCCTTTTAGAGTTTCCATAGATAAATAGGTTGTTTGCCTGCAGTATCGTTTGGTGAAACTAATTCTAGAAAGTCAATCACAGTATACGATAAAGTTTCACAAGGTTGATATAAACATTGTCTTGATGACCCACAGCGGCATGACATAAGTCGAAAGAAGCTGGATTTTAAGCGGGATTATTCTTCAAATAAAGCCCAACATGGCCAGAAATCACGGACAAAATGGCGGCTAATTCGATTTCTTATGCGCACAACTAACTTATTTTACGAGACCAAGATGGCGGATATTATACGGTATTCTATTACAGACAATATAAAATCGATGCGCAAAATGAAATATAGAATGATTTGCATGTTCCACACGTCTACAAATAGTATTACCTATCTGAAAATATAGCTCTCGAGGGTTTTGACGTCTCACGATTTGCCATTAGCCGGGCCGAGTAAACTCGATTCAAAACATTTCCATATAATATAAGCTTCTATTATATTCAGCAAATCCTCCCTACTCGCTCACGTTTAGTCCATTATAGCGCTGCCGAAAAAGGCCCCAAAACAAAAGAAATTGCGGGAAATGCAAATATATTCAAATTTGTTTGGTCTTCTAAAGTTTGGAATGTTGTATTATCTTCGTTATAGTTTTAAGAAATTCATTCCTACAGTCTTTCACTTATATAATCATCTATCCCTGGATGAAATTTATATTTAACTCTTTGTAAAAAGACATTGTCGAATGTATTTATAATGTTTGTTTACATTAGATTTGAAGTCGCGCGTATGTCACGCGCTCGCGTGGGAACAGTTTTTGCACCCACAATTAAAACCGCTGACTGTCCGTGATTTCTGGCCATGTGAGGCAATGCCATGCAATGAAAGGTCTTCAAAAGATTTATAATGTACCTGCATGCTATAAATTACTCTAATACATGAACTATGAAATAATTTAGTAATTTACTATGAAGCACAATACCATATCTGGTAACAACTTGAATATTTTATATTTAGGACGAAACATGCACCGCACGCACGGAGGAGTATTGGCGTTTGTGTGATAACAGATAGCTATACTTCAACACAATCATTTGATCGTTGAGTTTGAGCAATGTAAATGCAGGGAATTTTACAGTCCATAACGGGTTTTAATCCTGTGCTTTCCGAGTCAGGATAGCATTGTTTACACACAGTTGGCGCGATGTTTGGGAATTCAAAGGATCGCGTTATAAAATAAATCTTTTGTTTTGAATATCAGACAGGATACACTTCAACTATAAACAACCATATCGTTCGTTTGATCGATCAGTCGGTGCAGAAGATATGTATGTTTCTACGGCAAAACCTGCTCAACTTTCCAAGCCAGGCGCGCGTTGAGTCTTTTCCTCGTAAGTTTAAATATGATCCAGCTTCTCGCTTGAAATGTACCGCAACACTTATTATTGATGACATTCAGTATAGCAGGAAGTCGTGTCATGATGAATACGAATTTATAACAGTTTCTTTCACGATTTCTTATTGCAAATTTATATCACCCGAAACTATAACACGCATAATTATAATTTTCCAAACCCAACAAACAGACTCCTCTACACAGCCAGAAACGCGCAAGTCGGAACAGATGTGCAACAGATCTGTTAAATCCTGTTGTCAACAAGCCGATATCTGAATGCGTTCGCTCGCCTTGTACCTGTCTGTTCTGACAGACCTGCAACGGCCTGTCAACAGGTCTGTTACAAGCTGTTGTGACAGAGCTGCTGCAATGCTGTTTTCAACAGGTCTGTTACAAGCTGTTGTAACAGAGCTGCTGCAATGCTGTTTTCAACAGGTCTGTTAAAAGCTGTTGTGACAGAGCTGCAGCAATGCTGTTTTCAACAGGCCTGTCGCAAGTTGTTGACACAGAGCTGCAGCAATGCTGTTTTCAACAACTTGCGACAGACCTGTTGCAAACCGAGGAAAGCGCCTTATGAAGCTTGTCTATCCACTATTTTGAACAAAAAACGGCCAAACAGGTTGCCATATTTCGGTTGTAGTGTTTCGTGAAATAGAAGTTTGAAATATAAAGTTTTATAAACAAACTTGCGAGATAAGTTTTGAGCAAAACAGCCGAAAAAATACGACAAATTCAAGAAAGGTTCTTATCGTAAACAATTTTCAAAATTATTTGTCTTGAAGTACGACCGAAATATGACAACCTACTTGCATATTTTTCTTCAAAACAGTACATACCATAAACACAAAGCTTCAATAAGGCGTCTTCCTCGCTCGCAGATTTCACTTGAAATTGGAAAGAAATTAAATAACGAATTTCATGTTCATATCAGCAATGACGAACGTTGCAATGAACACTCGGTTGTTCATGTATTGTTCATTTCTTAAGCTCTAGATCTTGTATTCTCATTGCTACAGTTTCTTCAAAAATCAAAACAGCTTTGAACTTGTTTGATTTTGTTTGAGGCAGTTCAGCAGTTGTTGAAATTTTGTTTGGCTCAAAATTCAAAAACAACAAAACATGATTACGTGATTGATATGTTTGTAATATTTCGCCCAATTGCAACGAGGAATGATGACGTGTGCACACGCGTTTATCCAATCAGATTAAAGAAATATAGCGATAGCACACGTCAGCAAATTGGAATTTGGATTTTGGAAATCGGAACTTTTTTAAAAAAAATAAAACAGCGGCTTTTGCATTTTATAATAATCAGAGAATAGATACTATGGACTATAATCTCTCCTATGTGATTTAATATCGCCACCAATGACAATGATTAAATGAGAAAGTGAAGCCGGAAGTGTCCATTTCGTGCGATTTTATATCTCTTTACTCACATTTTCGATTTGTTTCCCTACAACAGGCTTGTTGAAACTTGTTGTGACAGGACAAAAATTGTTTGTTGTGGACAGGTTTGTCGCAGGTCTGATAACAAGCTTGCTGCAGACTTGACAAAAACAACTCGCGACAGGTCTGTTGGAACAGGTTGGAACAGACCTGTTGATTTCAACAGACTTGCTGCAAATTGTTCTATCAGACCTGTTATCTCTTGTTAGTAACAGGTTTGTAGCGGGTTGTTTCAACAAGTCGCTACGGCTCTGTTGTCAACAGCTTGCGACAGACCTGTTACCGCAAGCCTGTTACCGCCTGACGAAACCAACAGACCTGTCGCGACTTGTTGACAACTTGCCGCAAGCCGGTAAAATCAACAGCTTGCGACAGGCCTGTGAGATTTCTGGCTGTGTACTACTCTTCCCTGAGATCAATTCAATTTACCACGCAAAATCTGCGAGTCACGTGATCAGCCCCGACCAGGATCTTTCCTCCACAAGAGGGAAAAGCCTGGGAACGAGGTTGGGGAATTGCATGGAAAACGAAACACAGACAATTCCCAAGAGGGAATTAAAATTGTATATTGAATTATCTAAAATGAGCTTAACTTGTCAATCGTCGTACGTCTTTGTGACACAATAAGAACGTCCATTAAACATATGGTTCAATTAACCACTGAACAGACTCATTCGTAATCAAAAGTTTACGAAACAAATGGCTTGCAGCAAACTCGCGTTGTTTTGGATTGATTAACTTTGCATAATTAATGTTTTTCAATTCCCAACGGTGAAAGAATGTGATTTCGACCGGCAATTTTTATTTGACGAGTATGTGGCCATTTTTCATCGTTACGGTTTAAAAAAGGTATCATTGAAAATCTAAATGACTGTTCTTTGGCCCTATTTAAAAATTTAATTGTTTAAAGTTGATGATTCACGCCAGCCAGTTGAATTTCCATAGCGTTTTTCAAAAACGTGCTGGCTAGGGACGAGCCGACGAGAACGTGTTGTGTGCCCCTGCCGTCATGGGTCCGTGACTTATTAAAATTTTGAAAAAATAAAAATTTGAAAATCAAAATTAAGATATAACAATTTATATTTTAAAAATCTCAATTTACGAAATAATTACCGAAACATTCAACAAATCATGGTACAGTGATTCGAAAGTTATTGAAAAATGGTATGTCCAGAATTTCTTTTCACTCTCCCCCCTCCCCCCCCCCCTTCCCCAACCCGCTTGTCAACAATTTTGAGGATCAAAGATTAATTAGCGATTGAAAGGTTTCATGTTTGATCAGTAATATCCCCCACCCCAATCTTGATCCATCCGTCACTGGGCCTTGGCCCCATCAGACGTTGCTCAGTTGTCGTCCCTTTCAAGATCCCAGCACGTCCCTAGACATCCTGTATATATGTATCACAAATAGTTTATTTATCACGCTAATTTACAGAGTGTATGAAGACTGTACTAGTGTTTGGCTAGTTTCTGGTTGTGCGTTTCCAATTGAAATCCAACCAACACATTGCCTTTATATCCTTTGCGTTACTGGCTTAGACTGTTTTCATCATTACGAACAAACTGATACAATACTGCAAAATAAATATCTAAGGTAATATTGGTAAGGTAATATTACAAGATATATATTAAAGGTAATGATCTTGTTTTTATAACCACTCGATACAGGTTTATCCAATCCAACGTCTTCATCAAACGCTAACACTGGAGTCGTTATTGGAGCCGTAATGGCAGCGGTGGTTGTTTTAATAGTAATCTTGATCGTTGCCTGTCTTTTATATCGACGAAAACGGAAAAACGAGAACACACCAGACACTGGTAACATTCAAAATGCTGCTTTTGAAGGCGACACACAACCAAGGAAACCTTCGTCAGAGATACCTTATTCTGATTATGAAGAACCAGCAAAGCTTGCTGCAAATGATCAAAGTTTAAACACAGAAGATTATGCGCAACTGGACATTTCCAAGAGAACTCCCATTGATGCAAATTATCAAAGTTTAAATATAGATGTTTACGCGCAATTGGACAGTTCCAAGAGAGTTCCTATTGATGCAAATTATCAAAGTTTGAATGATATGGAAGGCTACGCGCAATTGGACAGTTCCAAAAGAGTTCCCATTGATGCAAATTATCAAAGTTTGGATACAGAAGGTTACGCGGAATTGGATAGTTCCAAAAGAGTTCCCATTGATGCAAATTATCAAAGTTTGGAAACAAGAGGTCAGATGGAAGTTGACAAAAATCACAATGAAAATGTTCTGCAGTCTGCTTCATCGAACATTGATAGCAATTCAAGAAACGAAGTTCCTGATGACTCAGCGTACGAAATAATGCCTTAGTTGGTTGTCGGTTTTATCGCACATTGTATGACTCTCAGAACTTGCATAATACTTGTGTTTCTTTATGAATTTATGAGTGACTTTGTTTGACATTTGTAATTGATTTATCTAAAACCATGTCCCAGCAGTACACTACTTTTAAGATTGCCATTGTTAAACATATACCAAGCTTCACCTTCATATATTGCAGTACTTGCATGGTCGAATTACGAATTATTTTTGACGCCAGTTGTATGAAAGTCAGATATTGCTATACAATGTATGGTGACTTTTTAATAATTGAGTAAACTCCGAAACGTACGTCGTTTTTGTTAAAAAAAAATGTTTAGCCTTACACTCATGAACATTTAATAACACAAAAAGTCTAAACATTTTGTGCTACCAATAACAGGATAGCTTTAAAACATCATATAAACTCAACAATTTAATTTAAAACATTCTGTGGGCATAAGAAGGAAAGTATAAAGCGGCCAAGGTGAATGTAAACTTATACCAAGAAATCATAAAAGACGTTCTATGAGAAACATAATGTCATTTACCACTGCAATGATTTGGCCTCACTCATAGTAATCAAAGAAACGAAATTCCTGACGAGAGTAGCCTGCGTGCAGTCCCAGACTCCAAAGGACTGCAGTCTGCAAGCAGGCTATGACGAGAGCCGCAATGTGGAGTTTTCGTATCAGTTATCAGTGATTCTCAAACTAATTGTCAGCTGCCAGTAAGATATATTTTTCAGTTGTCAGTTAAAAAACGGAAAAATTGTAGTCAGATAATCTTATTAACAGCCTCACTTTAGAAGGTTAGGCCATTTGGATAGTTTGCTTATTTCACTTATAATCATATAGGGGGCAAAATTACTCAAATATGATTAATTAATTAGCTAATGAGGAAGGCATTTTTTTCAGGGCAAAATTACTTGTACCTGATTGGCTGAGATGCAAGCATGTTCTTGTTTTAAATAGCAATAAAAACAATGGCTTCTCACTTTGACGTCGCGGATAATAATGTTATTGACGAATTAAAAACTTCTAGTGAAAACTTGAACACTAGAAAAAGTACAAATTTATTGGTTGGAGTATTTAAAAAATGGGCAGGCAGGGTAGCAATAAGAAACATCGGCAAAGACATAGCCCGCATGGAGACATACGAGGTTCAAGAACTTGACAAGTTCACAATTAACTTACGAATAAATTTTGCCCTCTATGATTAACAAGTAATCGTAGTTCCTCGTAAAATTGAGGTTTAATTTCACTTGTGTTTTCAAAGCTTCAATTTCAAATTCATTTGTGAAACTTTGAAAACACAAGTGAAATTAAACCTAGCCTTAATTTTATTCGGCCTCACGCGATTGCTAACGATTAATTTGTAAATAACCGTTGTGCTGAGCACTCACACTATACCTATAATTACTGTATTCCTTATTACCTATTGTACACATATTCGACCAATTGTCGAATATGCTTGTCAGGTGTGGCATTATGGCCTTCCTCATTACCTGAGTGATCAAGTTGAAAAAATACAAAAAAGGGCATCAAAAATTATTTTCCCTGGAACTATCTATGCTGAATGTTTGCTTAAAGGACATCGGCAATGGATTTTTTTATTGCCTTGTTTTGTTCTCTATAATTGTCTTAGTCAAGATATGTATTTTATTTGCGATGAAAATATCTCAATTTGTAGTAAAGAGCGAATGAATTTGGTCTAATTATGCATATCGCCCGCCATTTTGAAAGCACATTTTGGAAAATTATCTTTCATGTCATTTGAGGCCTCTGACGTCATTGGCAGGGGAGAAGCGAAACAATACGCTGTCGCTACTATAGCTTTTGATCAGTTTTAACTTTTGTGAAGAATTTTCGCCGGTTCTAGGCTTTCTATGGACGAAATTCACGAGAATCAGTTAGGTGAAGTGTTACCTTATCAGTTTGAACCTGTTTTAAACAAAAATATTGTAGCAGTGGGGCAGAAGCGATTCCGAGTAATCCGAGAGCGAGTCGTCCTCAAAGGCTCAGACGACGACTTGAGACTTCGATGAAGCATTCGAGGCTGAGAATATCTGGTGTCTTAAATCGCGCAGTTGGTGCAAGTGTGGCTGCTCGCACGATAAGGCTTTAGAGTACGATGAGTACGACCCTTTAGTCACAAATGCTGAAGGAAGCGGTCAATGTTGGTTTTAGTTAGCTGTGGGTTAGTTATGGTATTTATAGTTTTACTTCGTTTGGTCAAAATTTTCTAATGATGTCGTTTGTAGTGCAGAAGGTAGTTCTTCGATGATTAACGTATGTTCGGCCTCTAAAGTTGTTAGAGCTGCATTTACAGTCCTATTCAGTTCTGGCGATTTGTTCTAGTGATTTATTCTGCGTCGTTGCTGTATCAAATAACTGTCTAAACCACGGTGATTCTGTTGTTATGAATGTCTGTGTTTTGAATGTGTGTGATTTACGTGTTTCAGCGAGGTCTGACTTCTGAGTGTATTTTGATCCTAACTGTGTAGCGTAAATCAACTAAATGTCTTCAGATATCTGAACTGGCTATTATTTCTTCCTCGCAAACTGCGTCTGAGTCTATGCGAACGTCTGCTTTTATATCGCTTAGATTACTCGCAAGTCGCAACCGGCAAATTTTCATCCTCTGTTGATGAAAGTGACTTTAATAACCACTCTTCAAGATTCTAAATTGTGAAACAATGAAGAAAAATAAGGACATTGAAGAAGCAGAATTTATTAAAGCTATTGGTAAATGTCTCTTTCAAGTACTGGTATCTTTTGACGTTGTCTCCTCTCGGTTTGTCTCCTTGTTCTCTTCGATTGTGACGATGCAGATACGTTAGAAACGCTAGCACTGGTCGTAGGCTTGTCAAGCGTTGGTAAACATTGGGCTTTACGCAACTCGTTTTCTCTGTGTATCCAATGCTTTCGAGGAATTGAGGAGAATGCGAGGGTTCATATGACTCCTCGGCAAAATGAAGCGAGCAAATTCTTGTACAAAGTGAGGGTTTGAATGCTTTTCGTTTGCAAAATTCTTCCCAGGCCGCTCTACGGCTCTTCTGCTCAGGCATTTTGCCGCAAGGAAAACGAAAGAAATTAACGTTTCTATTTGTCTTCAGTTGACTATCACTATATTGCAGCCGCACACAGGGCAATATACATTGCTTAACTTTGACCTTCATGGTTTAATACGTATTACATGAATGCAATAGTCTGTGGAAAAATATAGATTATAACATAGTCCGTTTATGTTTTGCGTTTTATATGTTTTTTTTAGAAAACTAAAGCATCATTTCTTACCTACCCTCGCCCAGAAAAAAATGAACAAAAAATGAATTGGTTTCCACAGTGACTTTAAAAAATTAAACTTAGGCCTATGTCAACTGTTAAGCTACAAGATGTTCGGCGCGCCTACACTAAGACGTAAATACTCGTCGCATATCTTCCGCAAGGCAAAAGAACGCTTACTATGGAAATTTATAGAAATAAACTAGGTTGCTATGTCATTTTTATGCAATTTCCTCAAATAACGTAGAAAAAACAGCATGTAAACTATAGCTATTTACAAGGGCCGTATACATTGTATAATCCGTTCCCCTGCCAATGACGTCAGTAAGGCATTTCAGCATAAATTAGCATATCGGGAATTTCTTCAAGATGGCGGACACCATGCATAATTAGACCAACTTCATTCGCTTTTTACTCCGAATCGAATAATTTTCATTCCAAATAAAATACATATCCTTATTAAGATAACCAACGTGAACAAAAATAGCCAATAAAAAAATCCGTTGCCGATGTCCTTTAAAGTTCCGAAAAAATTCCAACATCAGACACGGCAGAAAACAAATTAGTGCAATAGGTAACCCCCCCCCACCTCCCCAATCAAGTTCCTAATTTTTTGACATGTAATCATCATTATTTCACATGGACTAAATTTCGGCGAAAAACAGATATTGAAATACAAAAATTATGCAAAATAACATAGCTATTTTCTTGGTATTCTTTGTATCTGGAAAAACTATACACCAAAAGCAGTTTCGGCGGTATTTTGAAAGTAAATTTACATAGCGCGCGAGAGTCTGGTATCGAATATCGCATTTTTGAGTGATGTGTTTTCATTGAGTAATGACGGTTTGTATAATTTTTGAATTTGAAAATATGAATATTCAATGCGATTTTACATAAAAACTGCGGGGTTTCAGACTTGGGAACAAGAAGAATTGAATTCAGCACACTTCAAAACGTAAGTCTATATCGAAATATTTTATTCTGCAAATTTGGGCAACGGCATTAAACGAAAATCACTTGTGGCCCACGGCCTAAACGACAAGAAGTGCAAAGCCCAACACATCACCAGAAAATTCACGCCACTAACAACAACATACAAACTATCATCAAATTTAGAACAAATTAATAGTGAACGTGATCTTGGAGTGTGGGTCCAGAATAAACTCACCTGGAACAAACAAGTTCACGATCAGTCGGCGAAAGAAAATAAGTTACTGGGCTATATCAGAAGGTCAACGTTGTACATCCACAACCCCGCGGTGCGACGTATTTTATATTTGGCTAAGAACTAAAACTGGAGACTTGTGGTCTCTCGACATTCAAGTCTATTCTTTATGAATATTATATGACTTCATTAAGAACTTCTTACAACGTTGACGATCCTCGTTCGTACAAAACAATCTGTCTAAAGTGTAATTGTGTTCGTAGTCTTATCAATCCGATCTCGTGTTGCATGTAGATATTGTGTCTTCGTCTGTTGCATGTTTTGGAAAGAGTTAGCTCGTTATCCTCAAGCAGTATTCCTTGTTATATCGTTTCTCTCGTTATTATATGAGTTTAAAAGTTGGTTTAGTGGCAAGTAGTATCTTATGACTTGCCTCTGAGGACAAGGAAACAACTCGTTCCTATATTATCATTATGTTTGTTGTTGTTAAGTTTTAAAGGGGCTGCAGTAATTGGCTTGCGCTGTTGCAGATTCCCTGCCATGTGCTAATAATTAATATTTGTACAAGGGCTAAGCTATTAAATAAATAAATATGTTTGGCTTCCCTACCTTCCATCGAATTGAGCGCAAGGCCCATGCCATATTTTTTCTTCATTTTTTTCATGTGGTGTGGAACAATATGGGCTAAATGCCACACTGTTGGGTGGTGAGAGAAGAAAAGGCAATTAAGTGTAAATAATGTCCTACAATGACTCTCAAGCTCAACCAGGTCTGTGTCTGTGATTTCAATACGACTAAACAAAGAGACACAATTTCGCAAAGTGAGACAAAAAAAAAGCAAGCAAATGAATTGTAAAGTGCCTCTTAGTGCCTGGTTGTGTAGACGGCTCCACAACCCCTATGATATACATAAAATTATGTAAAAATCCCCTGGATTCTTTACCAGTAAATCTGTAGTCAAAATTCTTTCCTTCGGCTTGTGTCTCGTTGAACCACTTTATAATTTTTTTGGCAAGTCTAGAAAGGCAGCATTTGGTTTTCATTACACCTATATACCTGACAATCGGAGAACTAGATGGAATCTCAGAAAAATTTTTGATGGCTTTTGGGAGGCTAGAAATGGCAATAACCTCATCTAGAAGGTAGCGATGAGCAAGGGCGCAAGCATTATTCTTTAAGTGTAGTGGTTCAATGCGAATTCGATCAACAATGGGACCTAACACGGGAATAAACTCTTGCCGGCTTTTCAGTTTTGCAATTAATGATGTGATCTTAGATCTTTTAGTGCGATCTGCCGATTTCTCCTTCGAAAGTGTTTTCTTTAAGCCCTCTACCTTCTTAACAACAGTTAGTCTGGATGAATACTCCCAAGGATGCCAGGTGTTATTTTCCTTTACCCCAAAAGTCCCCTTGACTTCATTTGCACTATCATTACTAACGTCTGCAAATGAGGAGAAATGTTTAGCACTATTGCTTAACTCCCCACTTAGAAAGACTACCATTTTCATGTCATTTGGGAGTTCAGCTACGCAAAATTTAACATTAACAGTTACCTCACCCTCGGGCCCATCCTACAAACACGGGAATACACTTTGCTCAATATGTTGAATATCGGCCAAAAGCAGTTTAATATACCTCTGCATTGGAATACAATTTTCAGAACAGTTTGCCCCAAAGAGTAAATAGTTTTCTTTACTGCTCAAAACTCCACGTCCTATATTCAAGAATCCTACCAACCAGGCAGTTGCTGTATCGTCTTTCCCAAATGGTGCCCCGTCCCCTCCTAAGGTTATTAAAAAGGTATATTCTTCCCCGAACCAGGTTAGGGTATAACCACTTTTGCCAGACAAGTAAAACTCTGCAAGACGTAGGAGCAGCTCCTTCAAGCTACGATAACAACCGCATACTTTATCATCTTTATCAAGATCATCACAAAGAGTATCGTACACACTGTAAATATTACCTACATTTACCGATTTAATAAATGGCATAAGCTTGTCATTTTGTACAAGCCTTGGCATGGGGCATTCATGGATGGAAAGACGGACACGACCCTTACTGCTATTACTTGTCTTATAACAACTACCGTATTTCGGTATATTTTTCGATATTTCTTTTTACCAGCTATGCCTCCACAATAATAGACACTAACGCTTCTGATCATATTCTCTTCGGAAGACTCATATGCTTTTAAATTTCCTTTGTATATAGACGGCATAACATGCTTGGTGAATTTTTTGTTGGCAGACATTACATCGACTAATACATTTGAACTACATTTGTTTAAGGCAGTGTCTACTAAAGCTACAGCTCCTGGTACTGAACTTTCACTGCTACCTCCATGGATTTCCTGGGCAACCATAAAGGTTTCCTTCCTTCTCATCCTTGCATTAGGTGTTGTTAGTGTAATTTTACCATTTTCAAAACCAGTGGGATTGTCCTTTCTACTCTGCAGTGCCTTTTCAGACAATTGACTAGCTCGACTCTTTTTATCAGGTTGTCTCAGCTCTTGCTTAATATCTTCAAGGTCTTCTATCTGACTAACTATGTTCTCTACCTATCACAAACAACAGTTTGGAGTAAGGAAATATTTTGATAAATACTGTATATACTATATAGTTAATTTCTACATAGTACACACTTTTAAATTAGGGTTTGAAAATGCCAATAACAGGGGCACATTTTATTCTTACTATGACTTAATTTACATGTGAAAATTACTATCATACCGTTGCATCGAGATTTCTAAGCTTTTCGTCCATTGCATGCGATTGTTTTCTTTTCTTAGCCAGCACGATTTCACGTTCTACAATTTCCGTTTCGATCTGTATAATTTGGCGACTGCTTTGTACCTTTTGCTCGAGTTTTTTCTCCTCCATCTGCTTTCTCTTTCTCCTGTATTTGCCAATATTAAATCGCGGCATATTGAGGCCGTGTAACCGTAGGTTACAGAAATCCTTGATCTGTAACCGTAGTTCACAGAAATCCTTGATCTGTTCAGGGCAGACGTGTCTTTTGTGCTCCGCCGATTGTTTGTAATTTTACTTTGAAATAAAATAGTTTTGAAGGCATGGATGGCACTAAATATACCGATTTCTTAATCTTTGATGGAGAATCATATCGTTGGTTGGGGAGCTATACTGAGTTAAAGAATTATATTGCCGAAGACTTAAAAATGGCAGGAATATGGAAGTGACCGGGAGGAGGTGCTAAGCGTTTCATAGCTGGCCAAGATTCTGAATTTGTTCTTAAATGGCAAAAGTAAAAAAAGTTGGTAATCGAAAAGGACAACACAGATGAGTATTTATCAAAATATATTAAAGCTAACGCATGTGTCACGTCGGTCGTAGCTATGAACGGCTGCGAGAATGAGTTTTTGTCGACCAGCAGCAATGGCGAAGGCGTCCATGCGGTTAATTTTACCTTGCCCACTGAAACTAATATAAATGATGACCCATCCTTAGTGCACTTAACGAAAGCAGTAGAAGCTGGATTTAGTCTAGAAATATTGAAGAGAAACTCAATGTTAAAATAAGTGATGTTCTTGACGATCTGAACGAACTAAAGGCCCGGTCTGAGCCTGTCTCCGAGCGATTAGTCAATGCATTGCTTGAAGAGAATACTAAACTTAAGAAAGATAAAGATGTACTATCTGAGAGACTCAATAATTCGTTGCTTGTTATATCGGATCTTAACACCCGTATTAAGGACATTGAAAACGAGAAATTTAGTTTGATTACAGCTATTAGACTTATTCAATGCGCAGACAAAAGTCATGTTGACTCAGCGGTAACGGCAGCGGAGCAGTTGAAGTCTGATGACACTAACGTATTTAATCAACATGATTTATCTCATAATTTAAGTATGAATGATGTCGAAGAGTCGATTCGGGTAGTTGATAAAAACCCAGATTCTTTTCTGTCAAGTAATAAAATCCCGAAGTCACAAAGTTTGAAGCGCAAATATAAGTCGAAAAGCAAGAGAAAAGGTCTAAACCTTGATAAGAATTTGTCCGAAAATGCAAATTCCACAACTAGATCGGAAGTCTTACAACAAATTCCAGCAAACAATAATTCCACAGCAGAACCAGTCATGCAACAAATACCATCAAATGACAATTCAATGACAGAACCAGTCATGCATCAAATTCCATCAAATGTCAATTCAATAACAGAACCTGTTGTTCAACAAATTCCATCAAATACCAGTGGCACCAATAACTTGCATACTGTGCCAGAAACGCATAACAAACATGCAAATTATTCTGCGAAAAATGTCACTGTTGTTGCAGGAGATTCAATTGTCCAGAACCTGCAAGGCTGGCGTCTTTCTAACACTGACAACCATGTTGTTGTCAAGAGCTTTTCTGGGGCAAATATAACAGACATGGAAGACTATTTAAAGCCCATCCTTCGTAAGGAGCCGAATAAAGTCATTCTGCACGTAGGAACTAACGATTTAAAACATCTATCTGCTAAGAGAGTGGCTGAAGGGATTGGAAATCTCGCAACCCAAATCAAAGAAGAATCCCCAGCAACCAGCATTGTGATCTCTAGTATATTACCACGAT